AACCTAACCTATCTTTTTCGGCTACCTAACCTAACGTAACCTATAAAGATAGATTAGGTTAGGTTAGGTAGGGTTGGTTAGGTTCGGTCATATATCTACGTTAATTCTAACTCAAATAAAAAAAATTTACCTCATACATAATGAAATAGGTAGCTTTATCATTTCATAAGAAAAAAATTAGAGAAAATATATTAATTCATGAAAACTTGTCTTATTAGGCAAATCGGGCCTTCCATAGTAGGCTGAGAAGTGCGTTCTGGCTACTAGGTACGACATATATATATATATATATATATATATATATATATATATATATATATATATATATATATATATATATATATATATATATATATATATAATTGCATGGTTGCATGGCGTTTCACCTTCCTTCTTATGATGTCTTCAACGAAACCATTATACATTAATGGAGTTAAAATAGGCATGTTTTACTTGACACATTTCTTTATGATAAACAATAGACCTGCTAGTTCCTGTTTGCACTGCTCTGCTGTCTTCAAATTCATCCAGGAGTTCTCGTCTAATGACAATTTTAAGGGACCTCTTTGATAACTCTAGATTCCGTTCAACACTGTCTTTATTTACTGCAACCTTAGCAAGGGCGTCAACGTTATTATGTTCCTGCCGGCCAATGTGAGAAGGGATCCACAACATTTTGATATTTAACTTGGTCGTCTCCCAGGATTCGCTTGTCTCTCCTCACCTTTTATATAATTGGCAAAATCACAACAAAGACAAAGCCTGTATACATATAATTTTTTCCTGATTCTTTGTTTTATTTTGACTAATTTTCCCTCCATAGCTAACATGTGAGCGTTCCACTAATATGTTGTTCTGAATCATGTTACGTATAGCTAATACATTAGGTCTCCTGTTCTCAAGTATTGGTTCCTGTTCTCAAGTATTGGTTCCTGTTCTCAAGTAATGGTTCCTGTTCTCAGGTATTGGTTCCTATTCTTAAGAAATTGTACCTGTTCTCAGGTATTGGTTCCTGTTCTCAAGTAATGGTTCCTGTTCTCAAGTAATGGTTCCTGTTCTAAAGTAATGGTTCCTGTTCTAAAGTAATGGTTACTGTTCTCAGTGGTTTTTGTTCTCAAGTATTGGTTCCTATAATCAAATTTTGGTTCCTGTTCTCAAGTAATGGTTCCTGTTCTCAAGTAATGGTTCCTGTTCTAAAGTAATGGTTCCTGTTCTCAGTGGTTGGTTTTTGTTCTCAAGTATTGGTTCCTATAATCAAATTTTGGTTCCTGTTCTCAAGTATTGGTGAGAGTCATCTTGAACTTATAAATCTGCAGCTGAGCGCTATCATACAGTAGTCGGCTACACTCATGCACTTGTACACTGATTTTGTGTCAAATGAACAAACGTTTCTAATATAATTCATACAATCAAGCCAGGATTTATCAAATTCTTTAGTGTCCAACACAACATCTTCCTCATTCTGAATGAATGAGGAAGATATTGTCATTCAGAAGGCGCCATTTCATCCATTGCGATTGGCTCTACTTTTCATAATGGCATTATTTCCCATTATTAATCAGTTTATGATCTCCGAAGTTTATAAGACGTTGTTCATAGCAATCATAACATTAGCGCGTGAAGTTTCCATTTTCAGGAACTGTTGAATAGATGGAGTCAAAAACATCCATTGTCGAGGAAAGATGTACGGGTTTCGTAATTAGTCACGTGTATAAATGTCGGACGAATCCTGGCCTAAGCTGTGGCGCTCTGTATCTTCTTGGGTTAGGGGGGAGTGAGATATGTGTTGCGACTCTCCACAACACTTTTTAATTAAGAGAAGACAGCTATATCGGTCTGGTAATTAGATATTGTGACCCTTGAGTCAACTCTTTAAAGGCAGCTATATTGAGGTGGTAAGTGTCGCGATCATGTCAAACGGCGCCATCCGTGTGTATGCTCTGCGTTTCATACGTCGGCAGGATGTAAACAGAGAGAGCGTGCTGGACGCCCGCCACGCTTGGACGCTGCTTGTAATGTATCATGATAAGTATTAAAGTCAGTAACCAGGCAATGGCTTTACATCAACCCGACGACCAAGGCCATCCACACCAACACCACACTGGCGACCAGGATAAACTGATATTCGTCCAGCTCAGAACAAGAGAGAAGTATGCTGTCTCGCCCCTGGAGGAGGAGAAAACATGCTGTCTGTGAGCATCACACTAATGCTGTGTGCTGACCAATGCTGTGTGCTAACCAGTGCTGTGTTGACCAATGCTGTGTGCTGACCAGTGCTGTGTTGACCAATGCTGTGTGCTGACCAGTGCTGTGTTGACCAATGCTGTGTGCTAACCAGTGCTGTGTTGACCAATGCTGTATGCTGAAGAATGTTGTGTGCTGACCAATGCTGTATGCTGAATAATGCTGTGTGCTGACCAATGCTGTATGCTGAACAATGCTGTGTGGTGACCAATGTTGCGTGCTTACCAAAGCTGTGTGCTACCAATGCCATGTGCTAACTGAAACTGTGTGCTAACTGAAACTGTGTGCTGACTGAAGCTTTGTACTAACTGAAGCTGTGCGCTGAGGAAGCTATGTGCGAACTGAAGCTGTGTGATATACACCGATGCTGTGAATAAAACGATGCTCTGTGTTACACAATTCTACATGCTGATCATGCTGTGAACTGCCTGCTGTGTTGACAGTGCCGAAAACTCATCAAACAACATTGTTGACAACTGATGTGCCAACTGGTGTACAACAGTGAGTTGGAACAATACTACATGTACCCATGGCTGGGTAAGAGGTCAGTTGCTGGTGGGGGACTCGCTGTTACGTATCCCCACTTATGGATACTCACATTATTCAATATGAAATAAAATTATTTAAAATTAATTCTTTATATGTATATACTTGTGAATGTGTAGTATAGCTTGGCAACATAGTTGGAGCATGGTGCAGGCTTGCTATAGTTATACAGGTAATATACCTGTATTAATCTGGTCAGTTTGGACCAAATAATTGTCCGTATACATTTGTGGCAGTTGCTAGATGTCACCTTTTAATATTCATATTATTATTTTCCTTTTATTAAGTATGTGGCATTGTAACTTATATTATTTACATGTTGCAGTTACATTTTAGTTTTTATTCATATCCATGTGAGAACGATTGTTTTTCTCATATGTTGAATTTAAGTCAAAGTACTTGTTTACCATCCCTTGTTCTGGATGGAGGCGGAGCAGGGAGTTGTGGGTAGAGTCGGGGGAGACCTCAGTACTGCTGGAGGTACTTAGTCGGCAACATTATGTCTGATAAGTCTGTTAACGCTTAATCTAGTTACTTTTTAGTAGATGTATTATCTGGAGAGAATTTTTATATATTTCATTGTGTTGATTTGCCATCTGATTATATTGTGATACATTTATGAATACTCTTAAAGTTACATATACATATTTTTATGTGTATGTTTCTATATCCTAGTATTGTATTTTTTTTGTACAGACTCATAAGGCACTCTGGTAGAGCATACTTAGTGACTAACCTTGGACTCTGCTTATCACTGTCCCCTAACTCTACGAGCTCTGTGAACGAGCAGTAACACTCGCTGCCAGCGCCATTGCTAGCTGGCCTCGCACAGTTTTGTTGTCTGGAAAACGTAAGATTCTGGGCACCCATCAACTCAAAACATCGCGATTTTGGGAGGAAAAGCACATCAATACTCCAAGACCCGGAGAATATCATGTTTGGAAGGAAATAATACCGATTTCGTCTATAATTGATGGACAAACAATTTAGTTTATTGACTGCTGTCCAACTGACTGGTATTATGCGCATCCCAGTACGCAGCCAACCCAAACTGTCGTACTGCAAACGTCGCCCATGACCAATTTTTTTTTTTGGTTAGGACCGTATCACTGACCAGGTCATTTAGTCCTACTCTGAAGGGCGAGGCGATACCCTGTGGGCAGAGCCACAAGTGGACACCTTAGAAGGTGTACTGAGCCTGACAGGGAAAGGTAGACCAAACCGCTCAAGTAGGTGTTAGGTAGCCCTGATTCCGCCTGGAGGAATCATTTTACGACCTCCGTTGGAGGGGAATGAATTTCTCCAGGCCTAGGAGTGTCTCAGGCATTAGGAGGGGCAGTGAATCGGTCCTCACTACGTAGAGACGTCATGCAGCACTCATCAACAAGCCAGTTCCAAACAGCACTCATCAGCAAACCAGTTCCAAACAGCACTCATCAGCTAGTCATTTCAAAGCAGCACTCATCAACAAGCCAGTTCCAAACTGCGCTCATCAGCAAGACGGTTCCAAGGCAACACACACATCACCAATCCAGATTTAGCAGAAAAATACCCTCTTGCTTAGGAGCGCATCAGGTATTCTAAATTCAAAAATTTCCGTATATTGAAATTCAGAGTGCAATACATGTTATAACTAATCACAGAACCCATTATTTTTTATCAAGTTTACTTAAAAAAATTGAGTAAACTCGTCTAGGATTTTAATTTATTTTGCCATAATTTGTATGATGAATTTTCTTTCATATTTCGCTATTTAACTGTTAAAGAAATATTGAACTCGAAAACAAAATTGATTAAACCATTGAAAGATATTCCCCCAAAGCGGTGATTTTTTTGTGATGTTGTTTACAGCAATATCAGCCGGATATTGATCCGAGGCTGATAGCAATATTTTACATAGCATTGCTATCAGCCTGCAGCTGGGGGCTACCTGAGGAAACAATTAAGCAGCCTCGAGCCCAAACTATTATTGAAATTATAGCTTGTATAATATAAAAACACTATAATTATAGTGTTTTTGATGATTATTATACCAACTTCAGAGTATTTGAATATGTACTGAGAACCTAAAATACAATTTTGTTTAACTGATTATAATTTGGAAAATTAACTGGATTATATCGAGATTAATTATTATTCATTAATGAGTGTTTGAGAACTGGATGAGTTTTAATAATTAGTAATCAGGAGAGGCCTGGGCTTCGCTCCTCATGGATGCTGGGGCTACCCTCCTCATGGATGCTGGGGCTTCCCTCCTCATGGATGCTGGGGCTACCCTCCTCATGGATACTGGGGCTACCCTCCTCATGGATGCTGGGGCTACCCTCCTCATGGATGCTGGGGCTACCCTCCTCATGAATGCTGGGGCTACCCTTCTCATGGATGCTGGGGCTACCCTCCTCATGGGTACTGGGGCTACCCTCCTCATGGATGCTGGGGCTACCCTCCTCATGGGTGCTGGGGCTACCCTCCTCATGGGTGCTGGGGCTACCCTCCTCATGGGTGCTGGGGCTACCCTCCTCATGGATGCTGGGGCTACCCTCCTCATGGATGCTGGGGCTACCCTCCTCATGGATGCTGGGGCTACCCTCCTCATGGATGCTGGGGCTACCCTCCTCATGGATGCTGGGGCTACCCTCCTCATGGATGCTGGGGCTACCCTCCTCATGGATGCTGGGGCTACCCTCCTCATGGGTGCTGGGGCTACCCTCCTCATGGGTGCTGGGACTACCCTCCTCATGGATGCTGGGGCTACCCTCCTCATGGGTGCTGGGGCTACCCTCCTCATGGGTACTGGGGCTACCCTCCTCATGGATGCTGGGGCTACCCTCCTCATGGATGCTGGGGCTACCGTCCTCATGGGTGCTGGGGCTACCCTCCTCAAGCCGGAGGACTGTATTATTGGATAGAGACAGGTTGATAAAGAGACATGTAGATAGAGACAGATAAAGAGACGGGTAGATAAAGAGAGATAGGTAGATATAGATACTATCAAACACGTACATTCATAACAGCCATCACTCCCAGCCCATCTTGTCCTCTGTAACTTGTCCCTACGTCACTAAACTGGTTTACTAAATTGCCCGAACCTAACCTAAACCGAGGTCCCACGAACAGGAAACGGGACATCACGTTAATTTCGTGAGCCGCTGTGATCACGTTTCAGCTATTTATACGTCAAAATACGATGTACTATTCGAGAGGCCGGGTTGAGACCCAACACACTCCTTCATGCAGATACAAAGCAAATGGGTAACTATTAACTTACAAATAATAATAATAATAATAATAATAATAATAGTTTCTTCCTCTAGTCATACAGTCGTAATGGCTTGACGCTTTCTGCTGAAAGTTCCCTTTCCTTTTAGTAAAACAACATTATTCATTGATTTTGGGAAAAGTAACAGCAATTTTCTGATACTGAAAATTCGGCCGTAATGCAATAAACAAATATCTTCAACAGAACCAACTGTTCTTCCCGAGCCATACCGTCCTGAGCCTGGGAGAGAGAGAGAGAGAGAGAGAGAGAGAGAGAGAGAGAGAGAGAGAGAGAGAGAGAGAGAGAGAGAGAGAGAGAGAGAGAGAGAGAGGAGAGAGAGAGAGAGAGAGAGAGAGAGAGAGAGAGAGAGAGAGAGAGAGAGAGAGAGAGAGAGAGAGAACGTAGTAGGGAGGGTGAGCAGGTGATAATGGTAGACAATGGGGAAAGGATGATGCAGGTGGGGGGTGAGAGGGGGAGGGTAATTAATGGCACAGAGGGGGGGGGAAGGGGGAAGGGGGGGCCAAGCAAACAAATAAATGCGCTCCCTTGAAAACAAATAATAATAATATAAAAATAATTAATCACGTAGACAAAACCAGGTTCTACTTTGATGAAAAAGATCGTCCGGATCGTTACACCATAAATCAACTTAATACAAAAAGTTGAGAATGGGTCGACCAGGTCCCCACGCCACCTGTGACACCAGCCATTCTTCAGCCTTGTTGACTCTACCAGATCAACCAGTTCTCTCAATTAATCCACCCCAATTTAAACGCTATCGACTTCAATGTCAAAATCTCGATATCTGACTAAAAATTAAAGGAATATCGTAATATTATCGCTTTCTGGGACGAAATGAGCATCTGTTCGCAAACTTCCGGATAAGCAATACCGCCTCATATTTGACGCATGTGACGTCGCTAGAACGGACTAACCAGATCACCTCATCTCGAGAACGCGGATTAGTTTTCATGCTACTTCGCTGAACGGAAACATTACGGATAATCAGCGACTTGTGACAGCAAATCAATTATTTAGCCACGAAGTCAAGGAGAAACACTCATGACAACTTCCACACATTAGTATTGAGAGATCACACCTTATTATCATAGATGAAATTTGATTACACAAGGTGGCAGTCGGAGACAACGTCACTGCTGGCTGGTGACGAGGTCACTGCTGGCTGGTGACAAGGTCACTGCTGGCTGGTGACAAGGTCACTGCTGGCTGGTGACGAGGTCACTGCTGGCTGGTGACGAGGTCACTGCTGGCTGGTGACAAGGTCACTGCTGGCTGGTGACAAGGTCACTGCTGGCTGGTGACGAGGTCACTGCTGGCTGGTGACAAGGTCACTGCTGGCTGGTGACGAGGTCACTGCTGGCTGGTGACAAGGTCACTGCTGGCTGGTGACTAGGTCACTGCTGGCTGGTGACAAGGTCACTGCTGGCTGGTGACAAGGTCACTGCTGGCTGGTGACGAGGTCACTGCTGGCTGGTGACGAGGTCACTGCTGGCTGGTGACAAGGTCACTGCTGGCTGGTGACGAGGTCACTGCTGGCTGGTAACGTTGTTGACAGTGTCGACGCATTCACAGTGGTCACAATATGCAAGAGTGCCGTTAATTCAACGTTGGAAGCGTTCACTCTGCGTTGATATAATATTGCTTCTGGATATTGTGCACACTGGCTGCTGCTGGAGCAATCTGCTATACAGCTGGGAGAGTGAGCAATGAAAGTGAGGTAAGGGAAAAAGAGAAAGCTGTTTGGAGAAAGTGGTAAGCTAATCTATATATGTAAGAGAGAATGTTTGTTTTTATGTCTGTCTGTCTAAGATTGGAGGCCAGACACCTGGTGCTAGGCTCATCCAACGTTGGTGCGTAAATGGTCTGGGGTATGGGACAGACATAGGCAGGTCGGGGTCGCTAGAATTAAAGAGGGGACAGCTTGCCACGGTCACACACAGACTCCCATGGCTGATTTTGACACTGCTTGTCAGCCACACCTTTGCTAAACATTTTAACAATAAAAATCTCATCTATTTTCATACTGAATTATGAATTTTTTTCACAAGTTTCGAGAAAAATACACTAAATTTTCTAATCATAATACTTTGCCCATAGAAGTATAAAACAGAGGATCCTCACACAGCTAGATTCGAAGGTGTTCTCACCGGTCTAGTCTCAAGGCTAACGGGAAACTAATATATTTTGTGATATTTCACACACTGATAGTCTCCTACCACCGGTGGTCCACCCACACGCCAGTGGGAAACTATTATATTTTTTATAAGAGAGAGACAAAGACAGAAACAGTGTGGTAGCCAACAAAAAAACAGAATCAGAGAGAGACAGACAGACATACATACAGAGACGGAGACAGATAAACAGAGAGGCCTGGAGAAAGAGCTGGTCGACCAGGGCATATAGAGAGCGACAGGATTAAGACAGGCAAAAAAAAAACACACAAACAGGCAGATAGAAGCAGACACAGAGATGATAAGGATAGGGAGAGAATGAAGGAGAAGGGAGGATGTTTGAAGAGAGGGAAAGAGAGACGGGGGAGGCAGATGGGGAAAGGTGAAGAGCGGGAAGAGAGGGGAGAGATCAGTGAGATTGGGAGAGGGGAGGACAAGGGGGAGAAAGTTGGAGAGGAGGGAAAGGGATAGAGAGACGAGTGAGGGAGAGTTAGGAATGAAGGGGAGATACCCGGGTATAGCCGGGTACCCCCATAGCGTAACTATGTAGCTCTTGGGAAGAAACATGAGGACAATATCCCCATATGAGAACTGTTGGGGATGAAGGACCAGTGCCCAACCATGTGGATGATGGACAGGTGCCCAACCATGTGGATGAAGGACCGGTTTCCAACCATATGGATGAAGGACCGGTTTCCAACCATGTGGATGAAGGACCGGTGCTCAACCATGTGGATGAAGGATCGGTTTCCAACCATGTGGATGAAGGACCGGTGCCCAACCATGTGGATGAAGGACCGGTGCCCAACCATGTGGATGAAGGACCGATGCCCAACCATGTGGATGAAGGACCGGTGCCCAACCATGTGGATGAAGGACAGGTGCCCAACCATGTGGATGAAGGACAGGTGCCCAACCATGTGGATGAAGGACCGGTGCCCAACCATGTGGATGAAGGACCGGTGCCCAACCATGTGGATGAAGGACAGGTGCCCAACCATGTGGATGAAGGACAGGTGCCCAACCATGTCGGTGACAGGAAGCAATGACGGCGAGACAAGAGTAACGAACCTGGCTGGTGGTGAAGAATACGGACTCCTGGTGTACACATTAATGATTGAGGACATGTAAAGGAGAGGCTGCAGAAGATTGGTGTAAACCTCGCAGAAACCGAGCGTGCTGAACTCTCAGCTCAATGACAGCCATCTATTGTGTCTAATAGCGTCAGTGGTGCGCCTCTGCATGGTATTGTTTGGTTTACTATTGGGCTCAAGGCGTACCAGCTTCAGGAAGGCCAATAAGAATAGTTCACTAACCAGCTGGCAAGTATACTTTAATCCCTGACAATAATTCAGGGCAAAAGTAAACTCTCAGTACATATATACCAAGTTTGGGGGATATACCAGTGATTGTAGGTCCGCTTTGTGTAGTGATGTGACTAGTATGTTTCTATAGCTAAGACAATCCATCCTCCTGCAAAGATGGTACTTATAGTAACTATTTCGTCGAATATATCAATATGTAGTGATGGACCACCAGTAAACCACTTTTTGTACTATTAATTTTATAGAGTCCGGAAAAATTAAGATTAAAACCAAACTTAAGTATTCTTAGGCCTAGTATACATATACATGTAATATATTACGCCTAAGAAAGCATGTATTTGGTCTAGGATTGTTAGAAGAGGTTAAGTCATATATATATATATATATTGCAGGTAAAAAATTCTCCCTTGCCCAAATTCAATAACTCAAAAGTAAACTTACCGATGGTTCATCTCGACAGATTGGTACTTTCGACCATTTTTTTATTTATATAAGTAAATACAATAAATACAATAAATACAATAAATACAATAAGAAATAACATTTCAACACAAACAGGATCAAAAATTCAAACGAGGGCCGCAAAAACAAAACATAATATAAACAAAGAACAAGTGCATAAACACAGAACAAGTGCAGAAGACGAAACAGGAAAACACAGGAAATATACACAAGAAGTATACACAGGAAACGTACACAGGAGCAACAAAAGGGAACATTAGAAGTAACATGGGAAACACGGGGACAAAACAAGCCAAAAGGGCCACAGGGAAAACACAAAAACCCAACACAGACACACAAAAGAAAGCACCGGAACGCACGGGAAGCGGGAGGGACAAAACAGAACCCCACACACACACACACACACACACACACACACACACACACACACACACACACACACACACACACACACACACACACACACACACACACACACACACACACACACACACACACACACACACACACACCCTAAATGAGTCGGATATAAGGGAAGTTAAGTTGGAAGCCCCCTTGGGAATGAGTGATCATAGTGTATTGAGCTTTGAGTACCTGGTTGAGCTAGGAATTATCTCCCCCAAAAAAGAACTGGGAAACAAAGGGCTGGCGTACCGAAAGGGAAACTACAA